CTGGATAGGAGCTGACTTGGTGTGAATTGGATTGTTCTGCGTAACCTAGAGAGAGATGGTCAGGTGGCGACCGAGCATGGTGACCAGCTGGGGAGGGATAAGGTTGGCGGTTATCGTGGTCATGGGGATACACGTTGTTGTACTGCATCGTCAGGAGCAGGAATCTGGGCGGCGAGCTCTAATGGGCCACTCAGGACGAGGTTTATATAAATTTACCGACGCATGCATCGTCTATGTTAGCGTCCTGGCAACGTACCTTAATGAAGGAATGTGTTACTCAATTATTACCTCTCTAAGGGGTACACACCTACTGCACGCCTGCAAGCGACTTGGTGCATGAAGCAGAATCGGGTTCAATCTGGCAACAACGACAGATGGTGAAAGATCATGATGATCTAAACCCAAAGATAGAGACGAAAAGGTGACTCATCAAACAAGTAGTGGTTTCGATCATGGAGCTTTTCATGCGTGATGTCTTTCGGAACAGGAGGTTCATGCGCCACATAAAAGCGGAGGACAAGGTTCAGAAGCCAAAAATGCGGTGCGCGACGTGGTCTCCAGCAGGCGATGCGAGTGCTTGGAAGGTCAGACTGAGAATATGGGGCTGATTTCTGCGGTTATCTCCAGGAAACGAAACGTGAACGCTTCAACAGTCAAGGTTTTGCAATTCCAACGTGGGAATTACAGTCCGATTAGGATACCGGCTAATAATCGATGTAGGGACAGTCGCATTTGCGGCGCAAGTATTGGCTTTCGAGTCCGAGAGGAGGCGGGATCGTCCCTGCTCTCGTAAGGAACATACACTTCACTGATCAACCTTACCCTAAATGCGGATATGTCAGGATATGCTGCGTCATGATAAAAACCGTTACATAATATACGGCGTCTTGATAATTGTTTGCCATGATTGCTCTTTCCCGGCAGGCGGTCGTCAACACAGGTTCTGTGGAAAAGAAATACTAATGCAAATGCCGTGATCCTATGCACTACCTGATGACTGTTGGGTCACTTGTAACTTGACAGACTTGAAGGTCAACTGACAGAAGCAGCGGATCGATTGGATCTTGATTGTCAAGGTGTAGTTTGTGCCAATCAACTAATGTCACGACCCTACATACTCCCAAAAATGAACCGCTCTTACCTGCACTAGCGGAAGATGCCAGCCAATAACGTGAGGAGATATTTTGATAGTTCCAAAGGAAGACCAGATGCGGCTTCTCTGCCATTAGAACCGGGTGGGGAAAGATGAAGCTAAGTAAAGGTACCACACAGCAAGGCTTGGGGTACACACACATACCGGAGTCTGAACAATGTAGATTAGCCCGATTTTGCGGAAAACGTGCAAACACGTTCCAACCACACAGCGGAGTACCGGCTATTCCGTGGCGCGGTAAACGATTCACCAAAGCACGATATTATTGAATACGCCCGTTCATACCTGCCACTGGCACATGACTTCCTCGATTCGTTAGCATGAACCCATCTATCCTGATTAGTACACGTGTGCATGCTGCATGAAAATGAAACGTGAGGGTATAACATTCATCCCATCATCGTTAAAGCAATGGATTCTATCTCCCCACGTGTCCGCTAGCCTCTGTGCGGACCCGGCCTTCAAAGCAGAAAATGCTGGGTAGCGTAATGAGGTCATCGTCGGCTACGAGGACCAGGAGCACAGAATTGCTAGTATCAATAGCTGCCGCACGTACTACGGGAAGTCTCACTTGGCTGGACCGCGTGTTGCATGGGAAACTATTTTCGGTGGAGAATGCTGTGACTTTTGATCCTCATCGCAAATATTCGGACGAGAAGCCTTTACAAGTCCTGAAGAGGACACGCTGCAGACAATAATTATGGGTAGTATCCAACCAAGAATATGAGAAGAGAGTGGAGCCCTCCATACGACGTTTCCTCACCGTGACAAACGCGTCCTGCGGAGAAACACCACGGAAATGCGCTGGCCTCGAGGACGGGAGCCAGTACGTACCTACTCCCATGTCTGATTTGACAGGAGTGCAAGGCACGGCCCGTCATGGTGGAAGAGAGGAAATTTCCGCCTCTGCGCGCAAACTTAACCTTGACCAGCCTGCTTATTAGGTTGGCCTTGCCAAGGAGACCGCCTTGGCCAAACGAAAAACATTTCGAAGAAAAAAAAAAACGCGAGCCCCCTCGAAGGGGGGTTATCGCTGGTCTGTCGCCAAATAAGGATAAACAACATCAAGCTTCCTGCACACGCAACCCAACCGGCAGCCAGAAACACAGACATTACTTGGGTGCCATATGGCTCCCTTCGATCTCGACGCGTGTATAGAGCAGCTACTGCGGAAGCAACTTCTTCACGAAGCTCTGTTACGCGAAATATGCGAGAAAACTAAGGAAGTTTTGATGAGAGAGTCAAACGTAGTGCATGTGAGTGCTCCTGTGACTGTCGTTGGAGACATTCATGGGTGAGTGGTTCTCTCTTCTGCGGGCATGCATGATTGTTCACCACAGCCTCAAGCCAGTTTTACGATCTCATAGAGATATTCCGCATCGGGGGATATGCACCGCACACAAACTACTTGTTTTTGGGTCGGTTGACTCATTCCAAGCGGTCAGAAATGCCACACCCTGACGTCTGACGTTTTCACCAGGTGATTATGTTGATAGAGGTCTCTTCAGCGTCGAAACCATATCACTTCTCACGTGTCTCAAGTTGCGGTGGCCAGATCGCGTTCAGTTAATTCGCGGTAACCACGAATCCAGGGCCGTTACGCAAGTATGTCCCTTCTCTTTTTCCTTTTGCATATCACCTGCTTAACTTTGAAGCTATCAGACGTACGGGTTTTATACGGAGTGCGTTCGGAAATATGGGTCTTCACACGTGTGGACCTATTTCACGGACATGTTTGACTTCTTGACCCTGTCTGTCGTCATCGATGATCGGATATTCTGTGTTCATGGAGGTGCGTTCTCATGGCAATTTTAATGGGCGCCTACTGACAGCAGCATTTTTGATCATGTAGGTCTCTCACCGTCCATTCACTCGGTGGATCAGATCAAGGTAGTGGATCGATTTCGAGGTGAGTCATCTTACCATGCCTTTTCCCATGTGCTCCGTAACATCGTGTCATCGAGCAGAAATTCCTCACGAGGGTCCGATGGCCGATCTTGTCTGGTCAGATCCGGATGCTGAGAAAGAAGATTTTGCTATTTCTCCAAGGTCGGTGCTTTTACCCACCCCTTCGGTGGTTTGCTTCTTATGATTTCCTTCGCCTACTGGTTTTCACGTGCCAAAATTTGCTGTGATGAGGTCTGACAGTTTTGCAGGGGTGCAGGGTACACGTTTGGTTCAGGCGTCGTGCACAAGTTCCTTGAGACAAACAACATGTCTCACATTCTGCGAGCACACCAGCTGTGTATGGAAGGATATTCATCGCTTTTTGATAAGCATCTCTCTACAGTCTGGTCAGCACCAAACTATTGCTATCGCTGTGGGAATTCTGCTAGCATTCTCGAAGTAGGGCCGGGAGAGACGATGTATTTCAATGTCTTCGAGGCTGCCCCGGAAAACGAACGCGACGGGCCAAGTCATCAGGCTGTTCAGAATGCTGGTGGAAAGGTGCGCTGCGATGCTGGTCAATTACTGTTCTCTCGCTGACTCATACTCGCCGTTACCGTCGTAAACAGCTCCCTGAATACTTCCTTTAGCTCACCACCAGATATCGCCGTCCATGTCGATGGCGGTGATGATGGGCAATGATGATATCTTCTCAGCAGATGACACGGGCTAGAAGTTCCAACATTCACTTTTCCCACCGCGGTGTGACAGGTTGTTACGACTTCTGCACTCGATCAGCTGACTACTCGGCCTGGCCCACGAATTTGTTACCCACATTCGGAGACCTCGCACTGTGACACGATACCCGTAGCCCTCCCTACCCTTGCTCATAGCACTTTGCCTCCGTCGCTTGGTCTTACATAAGAGGTGTTTTGAGCATGCACTCGCCAAACAATGTCTGCAGCAAAGCGGGGTGCATGGATCGGATAGGAATAATCCCTCGGCAAAACCAGCGTAGTTGCAGTCGCAGTGCAACTGAAGACGAGAGTACATCTGCAAATGTAAGCGAGGTCTAAGAGACTCTTAGAGCCCCCATTTAGCAAGTAGTACAAGCGCTGTCTAAGTTGTGATGTAAAGTGATGTTCTTCGCTCTTCATTAGATTATCACACGACGCGGTGATGTATTGGATATGCTATTGCTCGTCTGGTTGGTACATGACATTATCTAACACTATCTAAGATGCGATAAGATGTTAAGGAGCTCCTATCATCTCCTTTCCTCGTGCAATCAAATCATCCACCAACATGGTGTAGTCCAGAAGTTCAGTTCCCTGCAAGTTCATAATACGACGGGTTATACTTCGATGTATAGCATGATTGTCCTTGAGACTGAGTTCAAGTGCCAAAAACATTCCGCTGGAATATTCTCTGAGTGCCAGTCGCAAGGCCATGCCTGCGAGGGCAACCACCACTTTGAGGTTCCTTCGCTCGGTGTCGACAAACCTACAATACTGCTTCTCTCCCCACAGGAGATTGCGGACGAGTTGTACAAGTGCAGGGTGGCCAAAGGGAACTACAGCGACGTTGTCACTGGCTGCACACTTAAGATGATTGAGTACACACATCAAACGGAGAAAGGATTTGTACCGTTTTAGGTTCATCTAGCCACGCGAAATCTTTGAGGAGGTACGGGATCCGGTCTTTGCATAGCTGCACCTCTTCACCGCGCCTTTGTACTGGAACCATGAGGCCATAGAGTGGTAACGCCAGGATGCGCGCAGCACTCCTGAAGTCGGAACATATGTTTGTCTTGCTCATTATGTTGGTTCTTAACCAGTCGCCTGCAGCAGCTGTCAGATTGTCAACAGCAATGTTCGCAGGCTTACCTCCGGTGTGGCCTAACGCAGTTTCCTGCAATGCCTGTGTAATTATCGCAGATAATTCGGTTTTCTTGGGCAGGAGGTTTGTAATAAAAAGGCGCCGCTTCAGGTTGAAACGCACAGCTGTGCTGATGTCGGCTGCTTGAAGTCCTGGGTCGATAGTGGCTGAGCTGCTAGCATCTGGTGTTGGATGTACTGTGGGCAGTGAAGCCGAGGCGGAGCCTCATGCAATACTCCGCGTTGTTTGACCGACTTGCTGTAAAACGTGTTAGAGTTGCTTACATACATTTGCTACAATTCTTAGTACTTACTCGAATAACAGATTTCCCAGTGACGACAAAACGCTGGTTGGATACTTCCTCTCCACCTCGAAGGGGCCTTTCGATGTGCCTGATGCATTGCGTTTGAGGGGAATACAGAAAGACACAGGATGATAAGTGGTTTAGCCGCCTTGTGACAAGGGCTGATGGTGCATAATCGAAATTTGGGGGCGAATACGGATATGCTGTTGAACCCATCGGATGTCCAAGATCCATGGGGATTGGTGGTGCAGTGCTGTAGCTAGTGTTGGCAGGATTGAAGGGGGCTGGTGGCGCAGTGCCGTAGCTAGCATTGGTGAGATTGAAAGGGACCGGTGGCACGGTGCTGTAGCTAGCGTTGGCAGGATCGAAGGGGAGTGGCAGTGCAGCGCCGTAGCTAGCATTGGCGGGATTGGAGATCGGGGGATGAGGGTGTTCATGCCCGGTGTCTGTGGTAGTTAGGAGACCTTGATCGTGGTCATTGGGGTACTGATATTGAAGAAAGTTCGCTTGAGACCGCAGTTGCTGGTCAATCGCCGATGCTGTCAATGGTTGCTCGTCCGCGATGTTCAGCTGGCTTGCCGCTGGGTTCAAACCAGATGAAGCAGGGTACTTTGGCCTCGTCTGTAAGAAACCGAAGTGTCAGCATCTTTTTCTGAGCGCACAGATTTGCTCACCTTTGCTTTTTTGCTTTTTGCCTGCGAGCTCATGGTGGTTGAAAACACAACACATCCTTGTCCAGGAGACATTGTGGCTTACATGTGTGTATCTTATTGCGCATATTGGGCATCAATCAAATACAAATTTGTATATGGGGAAAGGGTGGAGAGTTTCATTACACAATGCAGAATGATCATGCTAATTGACTAAAGAAAAGAAAGAAAAAAGAACAAATAGCCACTGAGGCTGGCATGGTGGTTAGAGTTGTGATGATGCAAAGAAGAATAGAGGCTTACCGAAATTATCATGATCAATTTTTGCTTTCATCTTCTTCACTCATATCTGTGTCACTTTCATCAACATTAATGGAAGTGGCCAAGAAGGCCATCAGATTATCTTTGGAGTCGAGCACTTTGTTGTCTTTGAGTTTACCTGTGACTTCCTCCATCTGGTTGAGGTGTTCATCCTCCAATGCAAGCAGTGTTAAATCCTGTCCATAAGCCCCAATGTGGTACTCTTCCTCCTCTTCCAATTGACTGACTGAGTGATGCTCCATGATATCCTTGAAAAACTGGAGATCTTTAGTTGACTGAAGGAACTGAGTCTCTTCTTCTTGCATTGCAAGGAGGAAATCTCTCCAGTGGTTGATAGCCTTGATCTCCCAAGCAGTAGTAAGAGCATGGAGTTGCCTTGATTCTCAGTCAGCCTCCTTCATTGCCAAAGCCTTTTGGAAGGCTCTCTCAGACAACCCCATCAATCTGTGGACAAAAAGTGTTCTTCCCTGAATAATATTTGTAAGAACATATAGTGCATGTACAGGTATATATGAGAGATTTTACCACTCATGCATCTTCCAAGGTGATATCACTAACTGATTGTCATCCAAGTGACTTCTCAGCAAAGTGGAGCTTGATAGCACTGGGCTTGCTGTAAGGTGTGAACTTGGCATGAGAATGCTTAACACAAGCTGACAGATTATGAGCAGCAGGAGGGATGGACACAGAAAGATTGTCCCCTGGGTAACTCTTGTTGTGAAGTTGAAGTGGCATCTGCACTTCCTCAGTGCTGAGGCTCTGTGGAGGTGAGGGAGGAACTTGGGAGGGAGATCCCTTGTGATATTCATATTGATGGGTTTGTGGAGAACTTGGAGGAGGGGTAAGGGGGTGAGACATAGCTGTATATGTGTTCAGCCTAAGATGTGAGTATGCACACTGTTGGCAGGTGAAAGCAAGGAAGTGGAGTTTGAAAGACTTAGAAAAATTTGGCTGGGCACTGAACAGCTCAGGAGCACTGTACTTCATGAAGCTAATGATGGAACCTCCTTGACACTGGAAACATACCTATCCATTACCCCCTGCTCTTCGCTTGTCAATGGAGTCTGGGGATCACACTGCCCAGTACCATGAGAAGTCAGGTTGGATATATGGTTGGTCAAAGAACACACTTGAACGAATTCAAGATGATCAATATCAGAAGAATTGGGAAACAAATATCCACTGGCCTTTCCGAAGTCATGTGGAATGGAGACTGGGCAAATTTCCTGCTGAGAACCTCACACAGGCTCAAATCAATACTTTCCTCAAACCATCATTCACATCAGCGTGCCAGCTCCTTGACTGGATGGACACCCTGCCATCGGGGCCAGGGTGGCAAGTAATGCAACTTGAGGTTGATGGCTATGACACAGGGAAGAAGATCAATCTTATTTATTGTGATGGACTAGAGGTTGTAGAGAGCCTTTTCAGAAACCTGATTTTTGCCCAGAATATGACTTTTGACCCACTTTGCATACAGAGAAATGGAGAGGAGGAATACAGGGAATGGTTCACAGCACAGGAGGCGACATGGATCCAGGTCAATCATTCTTATTCTTCACTGAATCTTCTAGTTGCTAATATTAATTAAGGACACTCTCCCTGATGGCACAACACTTGTTCCTGTTATTGCTGCTTCAGACAAGACACCCGTTACAAGGTACATGGGTGGGCTTGAGATGCACCCACTTTTCCTCACAATTGCCAATATTGACGCCAATGTCTGTATAAAGGCCACAGCACATGCCTGGCAATGTGTGGCTTTTGTGCCTGTTGTCAAATTCGAGGTTCATTCAGATTACCAGATGATCTTGCAGTCCCGGCTCTGGCACAAATGTGTCGACATTGTCACAGAGAAGCTGAAGCGTGCTGCCAATTGCGAAGAGTTCATGGCTGATCCATTTGGTGACGTCCGATGTTGTTACACACCTTTGGTTGCATGGACTGCAAACCTGCCAGAGCAACAGCTGATCGCCACTGTAAGTAGAAATGCATCCCCAGTCACTCTGGCAACTCTCAACAAATTTGGAGACTCAACTCATCAGCCCTTCCACATGAAAGCCTACACACTTGACCTCATCCACGCCATCAGTTGTCAAAAGAAACCTTGGGACCTCAACACCTTCCAAAAGTTGGTGAAGGCTAATCACCTCCTTGGGGTACATCTTCCATTTTGGCAGGACTGGAAAAATAGCAATGTTTGCTGTTTCCTCATCCCTGAAATTCTCCACATGGTCCACAAGCTTTTCTTTGATCATGTGTTAAAGTGGTGCAAGGAGGTGGTTGGGAGCGACAAACTTGACACCCACTACAAGATCCACCACAAACATGTTGGGGTGCGCCACTTTGCTGCTGGTGTATTGCATGTGAGCCAGATGACAGGCCATGAATATTGCAACATCCAATGTACTATTGTCCCTATGATTGCTGGCACTGCCCCTTCCATGATGGTTTGGCCTGTCCATGCACTCATTGATTTTTTCCATCTCACTCAGAGGCTGCTTCACACAGAATCATCAATTAGAAGCATGGAAGCATCACTCTCAGAGTTTCATTCAACAAAACATGCCATCATCACTGCTGGCAGTCACTTGGGGAAAGAAAACTTTAACATCCCTAAGCTGGAGCTTTTGTTAAGCTTTGCAGATGCTATTAGAAGGAGTGGCAGTTTGATACAGTATAGTGCTGATGTCTCAGAGTGCCTGCTCATTACCCATTGCAAGACTCCATTCACTTGGATGAACAAGCAGCCCAATTTCACCAAACAGATCATCTGCCTTCTCGACTGCGAGGAGCATATGTGCCTCTTGGATGTGTACTTCCTACTTCATGAATACAATGAACCCTTGGTCAATGCTGCCAGCAATGAAGAAGATCTTCTCTGTTCAGCAGATCCTACTTCAGCATGGGTCTCCAGTGTTGCCCCTGGCGAACAATACCATTTTAACTCTCCTCAGCCCATTTGCAATATTTTACAGATGGTATTAGCTCCAGTGGTGCCACAGCTGCACTGTCCATTACAATCACTCCTGACCACACAAAATTCAGGATTGTTGATATTGGAGACATTTACATGCTTCCCGACTTCACTGCTAGGCTCAAGGAATACATTTTGCAGTGCACAGGAGGTTCAACATCCCACTCAATCTTTCAGTCATTCAACAAAATTATGGTCTGGCATAAATTCCGTATTCAACGGTAGTCAGTATCCCAGCCTTCAACCATCATGCCTAGTCAAGTGGTTCAAGCTCAGCCTCTGTCAACTAGCTTCCCCCTTGGCAACTGTGACGCTGTCCTTCTGAATGTCAATGGGCAGAGTCAACACAATCCTGGTTGTAAGTTGTTCAATGCACATTGCCATATGACTAACACACTATTCTATTTATTCATACAGATCACATTGTACAAGTACGAGTAGTATTTTGGATGGCCTGCTCCCACTGCTCTCAAGAGCCACCTCCCCCCTTTTTAGCTCAGCCTCTCCTTTACATTCAGCCATTCCATATCATCGCAACACCAGAAAGTCAACTAGACACATGCCTGTGGATGCTTGAGAGGGTATACTCCCCCTCTTTACGTCCAACATTGGCTTGCCATGTTGGCTTTATTCTTCCTTTAACTGAAGTTTGTCATTCAGCAGACCTAGTGCCTGTGTTTGGGAAGGAAGTAGACCACACAGTGACACTAGCAAAATTGCAGGAGGTGTATCAATGCTTCTACCTCAACTACTATACTGACAAGGAAGCTTTCAATACATTGTATGAATATAGATCAGTACAGATCTAGTGTAGGCTATCGAAATCAAGAGACAATTTTTTCAGTGCCCAGCAGAGTCGCAGATAGGCTGATTAGATACAATATTCTGAAGTACTTCGAAGATAAGATGCATCGTGAACATCGCTGAATGGCGAACTAACCAGCCAATCAGCAGTCGTAATTTGAGTGAATGTAAGATTCCATTACCTGTCAAGGTCTCACTTGCTAAGCATTCATTTCAGTGTTTTGCTGATGTAATACAAGGTTGGATCTGTATGCATGGTTGCAAAATAGCTGGAGTCATTAGCAGGTACATTCAGTCGAAATCTCTGTTGTCACAGCATACGTAACAGACCCCACTTCTGTCCTCTCTGATGATGTCAGAGATATCAGAATAGACAATTGAAAGAGCTGAGGGATGACTGTATGAGGCACGTCTTGTGGCATTACAGAACACTGAGGAAGAGGCAACCCAAGAGAAGTCTGATGTAGCCTTGAGGTGCACTAACAGAACACTAGCACAATACAGCAATACCAACACGTGCACAGTTGGCAAGGAGGAAACCAGACTGTAGTGGTGCTCAAAATAAACTGAGTTGGAGTGATTTTGGTGCTAAACCCTAGCTGAGTTGGCTGAGTTCAGCACTAAACCCTAGCAGAAACTTCAGCTGTGACTTTGACAAATTTCAAGTTCCGATTTGTTAAACCTCTGCTCACTTTGCATTTTTGGAGTGCTGTGCTACACAGCATGACATCATGTCTTTTTATATTCAACATCTAAGTTTGAACATTCACTTGCGAGCGATATTTGTAGGGGGCAGCTCGGATATGGTATTAGATATGAGTAGATAACACTGTCCTCCTTCTGCCACAATGGTCCATAAGTCTGCTCATCAAGAGACCCTAGAGATCCTGGGCGATGCAGCAGTCAGAGTCGCTGAAATGCAGTTGCAGCAGCTAGGGACTTACATGGAGGCCAACAACAATGACTCCGATTCTAGCATGTCAGATGGCGACTGGACAGATGTCTTGTCCGAACCCTTGTCCCCAATGATCTTATCTCCAATTTCATCCATGTCTGCCTTGTTGTCCTCATCCCTCAGCTCACTCCATTCTGTGAAGAGGATAACTGCTCCATATACAGCAGTGCTGCAGACCATTTGGGCACTCTATGATGAGGTCCACATGGCACGAGTCTTCGAGTGACCAGGCATACCAATGATGCATGCATCTCAACTGCCACTCCTTGATCATTTTGCTATCCACCAACCACTCTTGTTCCAGAAAAAATTGCACGTCGATCCTGTGATATTCAATGACATTTTAGACCAAATTAGTGACCACTACATATTTTTGAACAAGTCGAACAACAAACAATTACCTGTGGCTGTTCAACTCGCAATTTTCCTTTTCTGCATGGGGCACTACGGTAATGCATCTTCACCTGAGGATGCTGCCCAGTGGGCAGGCATTAGTGTCAGAACAGTCATCAATTGTACTCACCAGGTAATGGCAGCGCTGCTGGACAAGCACAACAACTTCATTTATGTGCCAGATGTGTGATCCCCAGAACTGAGGCATGCATGAGAATTTGTGGAGTCACGAACTTGCTGGTCTTGGAGAAATGGAGTTTTTGCTGCAGATGGAATGACTGTTAACCTTTATGCACGACCGAAGTCATTCGCTGACAGCTACTACAACTGCAAATCAAATTTCTCACTAAACTGTCAGGTAGGTGAGTATGATGTCATGCAGAAACAGACAACTTACGGGCATGCAGGTTGTAATAATGCCGCACAACTTGGCCATTGTTGATTATGTGCTGGGGAATCCGGGGAGTGTCCATGATGCATATGCATTTCAGGGAACGCAGATCTTCAAGGATCCAATCGGTGTTATGCCACACAGACACTGGACTTGGGCTGATACAGTGTATCCCTCAGAGAAGTGGTGTGTTGTGCTGTTTAAAAAGCCATGAGGGGGGAACTTGACAAAGCGTCAGAACACATATAATCGTTATGTTTCAAAGGTACGTACTTACCAAGTGTTCCATGGCACATCCTTGACAATTCAGAAGATTCAAGTCAGGGTAGAGCATGCATTTGCAGCCTTGAAAGGCTGGTTTCAGTCACTGAGAGAACTCTGTATCAAAATTGGTAACAAACCAGGGAATATGGATCTGGCTGTGTACTGGATAACATGTTGCTTTATCCTGCACAATATGGTTGTGCAATTTGAAGAAAGGTGCTGTGAAGAGTTGGGGCGAGGGATGATGGATTGGGTGATGAGGGAAGGGGAGCCTGACAAAGGGAATGACAATGATATGCTGCTGGCCCTAGAACCAGGATCAGTAGGACAACAATTCCACGCACACTTAATGGAGAGGTTGATCATGGAGAGAGGGATATGAATCTGAATACATTTTTCATTTTGTGAAAAAAACAAAGGGCGACGGTGACAACTTGGACAAATGGATAAAACATACTCGTTTGTCCTACAAGCGACATCAGGTAAGGGACGGAGGAAGATCTGCAGGAGTAATTATCGATGATGTAGGAGTAGCAGAGGATGATGCTTGGCCACCAGCAGCAAGGGCCTTCTGAGCCTCGATCTCCGCAAGCTTGAGCTTGAGCTTGAGGACCTCAGATTCCCTAGAAAATGCCTCTGCATCCAGCTTGCAGAGCTGGATGTCATGGTTCCACATCTCCAGTATGCAATGGTGGATCTTGTCAGCTTCACTATGTTTGCACTGATGCTCATGCTCATCATGCTCAATCTCCTTCATATGCATGTGCATGTTATATTTTGCGATGTGACATTCATTCTTGAGAAGAGCGATCTGGTATTCTCGGTCAGAAGTATCTCCTGAAAGTCCTTGCAACTTCTCTGCTAGTGTGACCTCAAGCTTGGAGACAGATCTTGCATTTCCTGAGCTTCCCCCTGACACCACAGAACCAGGACCATGGCCATGACTCTTAGTGACGATAGACAGTGGTGACGACATTGATGTGACCATTGAAGTCGATGATGGGACGTGCTTGGGGTATGGGGAAGAGCAGAACATACTGCGATTTTCCCAGGATGGTGTCTTGTGCTTCATAGCAGGAGGATTAGGTTGCCAATTATGAAAGTCACTTGGTCCACTGAAAGACTAGATTGTTCATGTTAGTTTTTGTACAGTGCAACCACTTAGGAGATATCAGTAACTTGCCTTAGCAAAAGATGGGACTGCCAGCGAAAAAGTATTTGATTGGCTTGGGCCTGCTGTTGGGAGGGAAGAATCATGCATCCAGTCATCATCACATTCTTCTTCATCAATATCATGCCCTCTTGTTTTATTGCCACCAGCCTCCTCTTCCTCCTCTTCCATACACATGTGGTCATCATCAGTGATGACACCAGGAAAACCTGGATGTTCCATCTGCTGGACCATGGTCTCATTGTCATCACACTCTCCAAACAAATCTGGCACAGACTGGGAAGTACTGGAGGGAGGGGGGGGGGTACAGAGGGGGAATTGGGTTGAATAATCACAAGAAAATTGCCAGCACGATCGAGGCCAGGAGTAGAGTTTTGCAGTTGGGTGTCGATTGATGGAATTCCCCTCCACATTTGATCACATTCCTCGAACCAAGGGAAATGTGCAATGGCATCAACTGAAACCAGATCATCAGTGGGACTGAATGGGAACACAATCTAACAGACTCACCCAGCAGGTTTGGATACCTTGCATCACCAGGAATGATCCTGCCACCAGTGGACTTGAAATGATCAAGTTGCTCTCGATATCTCTTCTTTAACCTGCGTTGACCATTGAGTTATGCCATCTCCCATCATTAGATAAAGACATACGTTGCAAGGCATGCATAGACACTCATATTGAACTTCTCTGGCTGCATCTCATACCCACTGCAATATTCTGGATCATTCGCAAAAAGCACCTTTGCAATGACAGCATGAATTTCTTTCTTCATTCGCCCATGGGGCTTTCCAAGGGCAGCAGAGCCTTCTTGCGCACTTCACTGCTTAGCGCTGCTGAATAGGATGGCATGATTGGCAGGATGTTGCAAGAGCCAGCTCAGGAGTGTGCTAGTGAGGTGGGGGTATCATTCCCAGAAAATGGTTTCCCTCGATTCCTGTGGAGGACCTCCCAGGGTAGTCATCATTTGCTTGCGAGAGCCAGTAGCCTGGGACTTGGATCCCCTGGTCTTTGGCTTCCCTCTCTGGGATGTAGAGATCGTATTTTGGGGCAGGGATATAACTTGAGAAGGGAAAGGAGGATTGGAACCTGCATTTCTGGCTGGAATCTGAGGGGGAGTCAATGCCATCATAGTCGTCTGTCTCGCTTGCAGGCATGCAGAGCATCTTGTGCATGGACGATGGGGAGGCATTTTCAAGCGGAGCTTGAATTAAACCACACGCACTGGACCCGCTTGCCATGCTCACACTGATTCCTGGGCCAAATTTGTTTGACTCAGATTTATTTTGAACGCCACTTGTGCCTTAACCCTGTAGTGATGGACCCAGCTGATCCACCAGGATCAGGGTGAGGAACTGCCAAGTTCCGAGGCATAGATGACAAGGAATGTAGCAGCGAAACAATGTTCCAAAAACCTATCGCCGGCGGGAAAGGACACACAAGATAAGTGCAGAAATACATAGTACCAACGTCACAATGGATTATTTTACCTGCTGGCATCGGCCGACAATCTGAGAAGAACACCGTCAAGACAGCATCAGCAGCCATAAAATTCGGTACCATATTCTTCAAACGGCTAAGGCTGAGGTTCTGTATTAACACCACGACACGTGGATCATTCACCTATGCACATACCTCGAACTGAGGGGCCGGAACAAGAGCATCGTGACAAACACTTGCTGACAGTATCGACACGACTAATAAGGGCAAATGCCGGCTAAGGTGCGGGCAAAGAGTAGAACGCAGTCCAGTTCGGAATGATGCCCGATCAGGACGCCGAGAAGTGCTAGCGAGATCACGACTGGGATTGTTCCATTGGTCTTTCTTGCAG